ATCCTCTTGTGTACATGTGTAACTTGAGTAATATTTAGATTTGTTTATAAACGAGAGAGAAGGAAACAGTGATGAAGTGCTATTGTAGCTGAAGGTTAATGACACAACATGAATGGTGTAACTTGTTCGCTGATTAATTTGAAAAAGTTTATGTACTGCATTAGGACTACTTCACTAAGATCTATTTGGGAACTGTCATTAAGTCTTGGCAGGTATTCTGCATTATGAGGGCTAATTATGCTGAGACTTCATTTCAATATGCATTGCAGTAAGCAGCCTAAAGTAAATGAATGTTAATTTATCTGCACTATTACTATGCAGGGTGTGTGTGAAACCAAACTACTAGAGTTCCTGCTCTATCAGATGATGATGATCTGAGGGGCCTGATGACACTGTGGAAGTGCATTGAAATGTTAATTACAGTGAACCTTTGTTTATTTAGTGTTTTTTCTCATGACAACAGAAGAGATTCTTTTTCTTCAACCTGTCATATAGAGCCAACTTTAAGCTTCCAGAACAGTGGTTCTGTCTTGTTGGGCATGGGGGATCCCTTACTGCTGTTTTTTCAAACCATCTCCCTAATCTAGGAATATTTGTATTAATTGACAAATGCAAACTCTCCCCTTTGAGCCAGGTGATACTGCTCTTAGAGTCTAGGTTTTGGCTAGAGTTTAGCTTTTTAGACTGCACAATATCTTTTGACTAGCCTGCTTATTGAAAAGCTTTCAGAAACAGGAAGAACCTGTTGTCAGAAGGATACCATCTCAGGAAATGTTGTGAAAATCCTTGCAACCTGCTGTATTCCAAAAACAGAAAATAATAATAATTTTCTCGCCATAAGTAACTCTACTAGGATTGACTTTAGTCCTGGGTATTAAGGATACTTCTGAATAGGTATTAACGTTTTCCCTGTTGAAATGACCGAGAAAAATCCACGCACATGCGATGTGTGTGTAAAATATAACTACTACTATTATTTGTGTATCCTATTGTCTCTGTCCTGTTCATCCTCTGTTAAGTGATGAAATAGCTTCAGCTGATCTGATGCAGTTGTGAACAGAGCTGAGTACGATAGAGAAGAATATAACTAATCTTGTTCATTGGTGTATTAGAAAATTTCAATGTTGAATGTGTTTTTCTAGAAGATCGGATTTGAGAACAGCCTGTTAGATATGGAACTAGTTGGATATATATTTTGTAATTCCACATTTGGCTCAAATTCCCTGTTTTGTTATCTGAAAGTGACAACTCACGATAGGTTATTTGTTTGCCCCTTGATGTTTGTTACGGCTAATAATTAGAATTTGAAAGAAAGTTTGCACGTCTCCAATTTGTAATAATGACATCTAACATTATCCTTCACTAAGTTCTTTTATATGACATTTACTAAACTCACTGTTTTAAAAGACACATTTCCTCCTTGCTTTTAATATTTTTGTCCTTTTCTGGTCCTATGTATATTACTTCTTAATCCCGATGTAAATCACAAAAACAAAACAAGAATCCATCAAGATTTTGAATTGATCCATTATTGCATACGTGTTCTATCCCGATTCTGAATTCCGTGGACTCTTATCTACAGCTAGAATCCATATGCAGGATGTAGATGGATTCAGAAATCCTTCTTGATTTTCAAGAAACTGCTAGGTCAGCTTTTGCTTTATTTTTCAAAATATTACCCACTTTGGGTCCAGTTAAAATGGTACACTGAAATACTTGCTCACTTCCTTATCACCTCTTCTTTTTTGTTGATGTCTTATCTTAAATTGCAGTCTAATCAGAATACAGCAATCAGGAAGCTGACACAGGCTGAACTTTCAAGTCCGCTTATTCTAGAGCTGTGTTTTCTGAATTGAATTCCTGTGAAATCTAGTATTGATCTAAGGAAGCTTTCTGATGGTCTGTTTCATTAAGTGCTAGGACATGAGATACTGTCTTCCCTGTGTACTACAGGCCATGTTTTGGGATCAGTGTTTATTCCAAGATGGAGGTAACAGTTTGCAAAAGCACATGAACATTTGGCTGGTGGTAATGTAGAAATAAAAGCTGCTGAGCAAAGACTTGCTGTTCTTGGACACAATGGAATACAAATCTATATTTTTGCATACTACTACCATTACCTTAATGCGTTTGTGATCATTTAGGCTTTCCACTGACTTAGATCAACTCTGATTGCATGCTTGAGAAAAACTTGTATGTTTGCAAGATTCACAAAGGAATCTTTTTGCGGATACAGACTAACACGGCTGCTACTTTGAAACAAATGATAAACTGGCTCTGGGCAGAGATTTGAGAATATTGCCCAGGGTGAATGATTTAAATCAAATTGATTTAAATCACTAGTCAGGAAGACTCGATTTAATCATGGTTTTCTACATAAAAGTGCATTCTTGTTGGTTGTTATAACCTTAATACATATTCTTCACAATTCAGAGATAGATGTAGGTTTCATTTTTAGAAGGTACACACTATACATTTTTAAA